TGTGTGAGTTCATGGGGAGGGGGCGCATTACTCATTGCTTGAGGCAGGCGGGAGGGAAGAGGCAGGGGAAAGGGGCCCCAGGCCTGCTAAGCCTCAGAACAGGGTCAGGAGCTGGGACAAGCATTTTTCCAGCAAGGGGCTGGAGGGCGATGCTAGTAGACCCCTATCCTGCTCCCCACTGTCTCCAAGACTTTGTCCAGGAAGGGCTAAGTTAGGGTAACTTGGGGGGGTGGGTCCCACAAAAGATGTTCCCAGAAAATACACATTGGCCTCCTGCCAGTCCCAGGCTCAGGCCGGCACCACGTTGTCGGGGTGATGGTTAGAAAAACAGTAAATAGTGAGGCAGGGGCGGCCCCCTGAGAGAGCTTGGGAGGGGATGGGACCTGTTGTTTGTGATCCCCTGTTCCCTACCCTTGCCTGCACATGTTTGAGGGTGACCCTGTGTACTCATGTGTGAGCACGTGCGTGGGAGGGCCTGCGTGGGAGTGCCTACGTGGCCACATGAGATGTGTATGTGTCCTGCACCCTGCTCAGGAGAGAGCTGTGTTTGGGTCCCTGTGCTAGTCCCTATACTTGTTGCAAGCCAAACCCCCGAAGCCCTTTTCCTTGGGCTTTGTGTGTTGGTGACAAGCTGTGGTAGCTTGGATTCTCTGCTCCAAGAGTAAAGTCCCCCAAGGGGTCCTGCACACAAATGTGCTTGCAGGAAAGCTGCACTTGGTAGGATAGGCAAGGTTCTGGTTCCATTCAGAGTGAGACCCCCCTATTCAAGGTATCTATACTCACAGAGCTGAGCTAAGTGAGTCCTGTGCCCCAGTCTCAGGCTTACACTGCCACCCAAGCGTTAGAGTGCTCACACACACACACACACACACACACACACACACACACACACACACACTTGTGTATAGATGGCGCATAGGCTCAAAGGTGGGGAAACTGAGGCAAGCAACATCTACAGCCCTCAGAGTATGTTGACACTCAGGCTCCTCAGTTCCCTAAGCCAGGCCACAGTCAGAGGAATCAGGGTATACATGTATGTATACCTATCCTGCATGTACATAGTAGATTCAGAAAGCAAGAACAAACCCACCCCAGGTCTGTCTCAGAACCAAGAATACTTCTTCCCATACATTCTGCCCTGACATTTTTTGGGGGGGCCTCTGGTAAACGTGTGTGCAAGGAGCAACCCCCAGAGCACAGAGCTGTACTTCACCAGGTGGAGAGGGGCCAAAAGCGGCCCCCACATTGGCTGAGGCCATGGAGAAAACCAGGAGGCCCTCGGCATCTGCCTGTGATGGAAGCCAGGTGTAAGGAATTAAGGGGCTTTCTCAGGCTGGAAGTTGAAGGCCCTTCTGAGGCTGAGGCAGGCAGCTCGGCTTGGGGGTTCGAGGTAAGAGCAGGCAGGCAGCTTGCGTGGCTGGAGTCCCATGTGGCTGGCGGGCGGGAGGGAGGTGGGGGGGTGAGGGAGGAGTGAACCTCATCCTGGAGCCTGTGGAGAGGCCTGGCTTTCGTCTGAGAGGCTTAGGGGAGACCTGGAGAGATTAGATCATGTGCTGGCAGGGCTTCCTGGCCAGGGGACTGAGGCCCAGAGGGGAGCGGGCTGTGGGGTCATTCGGCGGACACTGCCCAGGAAGCACAGAGACCCCAGAAGGGAGACATGACTCTGAGCAGCTCAGGCACCTTGGGCCTGGGGCAGAGGAAACTATGGAACAGAGTTCTCGACCCCTCTCAGCTCCAGGCAAGATGGAGGAGCTGTTGGGGGGGGTGTGGAGGTACAGTGGCCAAGGCCTGAGGTCTACTAGACACCAACATGGGTTTGCTCTGTAGGGACTCCAGAACCCCTGGGCTCAGGCCACCCTGATTCCTCTGACTGTGGCCTGGCTTAGGGAACTGAGGAGCCTGAGTGTCAACATACTCTGAGGGCTGTAGATGTTGCTTGCCTCAGTTTCCCCACCTTTGAAACAACCCAGAAAGATCTCTGTGAAGAGGACCCTGGGGTGAGGGTGGGGTGCTCTAAGGTCCCTACGTGCAAGGTAGAGAGAGGAAGGGGCTGGTAGGATGACAGAGAGCCTGACCTGGTAACTACTAGATGTAGTATTACACTTGGACCCTGATTGGTGGCTACTGTCTGCCAACATGCCATTATTAGGAGGCAAGAAGGAAAGTTCCAGATAGAGACTGTAGGGATAACTATCTGACTGGTGACCATGACTAAGACTCTCTCTGGACTCCCTGTCACCTTTCCCAAAGTCCTTCTTGATCCCCTCATGGAACAAGGTAACTGGTCTAGTATAGGAAGCAGCCAGCCCCAACACTGGGTTGCCTGAAGCCTATGTGGACATCAATATCTCCTCCCTCCCACCTGTATGTAAAGAGCCCTGGGATTAACCCTTAGCCAGAGGCATTTTCACAACTGGTTTGCATAGCCTTCATCTTAGAGTAAACAGGCCTGTAGACTGATCCAGGGGTTTACCCTTCCTGCCAACAGCAGGGCTTGTCCATTACCCTGGCCATCTCACTCATGGCATGACTATCTGTCATGCAGCATGATTGTCTCTCTGTGTCTGCCCCTCCAGGCTCACAACTCAGTGGAGAGAAGAAGACAAAGAAGAGGCTGCCCGTGAGCAGCGCCAACGGGAGCGAGAGAGGCAGCTGCAGGACCAGGACCAAGACAAAGTTGAAGATGAAGGAGATCATTCTCTGGAACAGCCAGAACAGCAGGCACTGTAGGCTGCTGGGTCTTAGACCCCTATTTACTGCCACCTAAGACCTGGGCAGAAGTACATACTGGGGATAAGGCCTTAGACTTGGAGCCACAGTGTAGGAATTAGAGGAAGGGACTAGCTCATGGGACAAAGGTCATTGCAGTCTCCAGTAAACACCATCTGTGGGATGCTGGACTAGCCAGAGGGTCCGCAAAGTTATGTGAGGCCCTTCCCTCCCAACCAGCCTCCAGAGGCCCTGACTCAGGATCTGGACACCCTGAACGGCTCCAGCCTTGGCTTGGACTGGTGCTGACCCCAGCCATGAGGCCCTGGCCCCCGAGCCCCCCGCCCAAACTCCTGGCTGCCGGTGACTCACGGAGGCCACGTCCAAGTTGGCGGCCACGGGCCGGCTCGTTTCCTCCTCGGGCCCAGGAGGCCTCCGCGGCTGGGCTGGGCTGTTTTTCCAATAACTCTCCCCTTCCTCCTGGCCCTGTTTTGTTCCATTTTCTCGGAGTCAGCAGCTTTGGGCGGGGTGGGGTGCTGCAGGGGTCATGGCCTCTCAGTCAGGTCTTCAGTTACTGGGTCCTTGCTAGCCCCCAACCCCTTCTTGCCCAGTAGCTTACCCTGATGCTTGAGAAAGGCTGTGAGGACTAGCCCGAGGACCACAGCAGCCTCAAGGAACCCTAGAAGGATTGGGACAAGGCAGAAACCTCTCTTGTACAGTCCTAGACAGAAGAAGGAAGCAGAACCATGCTTTGGGGGAGCCTTAGATTGATGAAGGAAGTACAGCTTCTGCCCTCAGGGAACTCTAGACTGTTAAAGCATAGCCTTGTCTTCAGGGAGCCCCGGCTTGAGAGAAGAGACAAAGCTATGTTCTTGGAGAGACCTAGACTGATGGGGAATGAATATCTCTGCATTCAGAGAGCCCTAAACTAATGTGATCAGGATAGCCTGGCCTTCAAGGAGCCCTAGACTGATGGGGGAGGCATAGCCCTACTCTCAGAGAACCTTCTACTGAAGAAGGAGGCATACCTCTGCTCTTGAGGAGTCATAGACTAATGAGGGAGGCATAGGCTGGCTCTCAAGGAGCACTAGACTGATGGTGGAGCCAAAGCTCTGCCTTCAGGGAGCCCTAGACTGATGGTAGAGACTAGTTCTATTCTCTGGGAGGCATAGACTGAAGAAGGAGGCATATCTCTGTTCTCTGGGAGCCCTAGACTGATGGTAGAGCCATAGCTCTATCCTCTGTGTGCCCTAGACTGATGGTAGAGGCATAGCCCTTTCTTCGGGAAGCCCTAGACTAATGGTGGAGACATAACTTTACCCTCAGGGAGTCCTAGACTGATGGGAGAGACCTATCTCAGTCCTCAGGGGGTCCTAGACTGATAGTGGAGCCATAGCTCTGTCATCATGGAACCCTAGACTGATGGTAGAGCCATAGCTCTGTCATCATGGAACCCTAGACTGATGGTAGAGCCATAGCTTGTCATCATGGAACCCTAGACTGATGGTGGGGCCATAGCTCTGTCATCATGGAACCCTAGACTGATGGTAGAGCCATAGCTCTGTCATCATGGAACCCTAGACTGATGGTAGAGCCATAGCTCTGTCATCATGGAACCCTAGACTGATGGGTGAGCCATAGCTTTGGCCTCAAGGAGCCCTAGGCTGACAGGGAAAGCACAATTCTGTTCTCAGGAAGCTGTAGGCTGCTAGGGAAGGCACAGACTACCCTGGGTGATTCTCTGACCACAAGGAGACAGAAACCAGCTATGGAGAGCCACCTCTGAAGCAGATGGTGGCTCACTCTGGGAGTCAGGGTCTAAGGGAAGAGACAAGGAAAGGAACATAGGCTGTAGCATGTCTTTTCCTAACCCCTTTTCTCCTGTTCTTTCAGCCTCAGTCTAAAGTCCTCTGAACTGGATGAAGATGAGGGTTTTGGTGACTGGTCCCAAAAGATGGAGCAACGGCAGCAATGCTGGGAGAATGAGGGGACTGCAGAGGGTACTGAGCCCTCTCAAAATGAGAGTCCAGAAGAGACGCAGGCAGAGGACAGGCAAGTGTGGACCAGGCTGGACAAAGCACTGGCTTTCTCTGACTCTAGCCTGGGCCTGGACAATTTCTTTCTGTCTGTCCTTCCCCAAAAGCCTCCCAAAGTGCTCAGAGGGTGTGAAGTGGATAGGGAGGTAAGAAGAAAATGAGATAGATGGACGGATGGACAGTGAGGGGGCTACAGGGAGAGAGCAATGAGGATATTGCATTCCTGGGTTCCCCAGGGCTGGGGGCCCCATCCTGACCAGCTGTGGCCCACTGGGGTGGGGGGCTGCCACATCAGCACACAGCTGCAGCCCACTTACGTAATGTAGGCGCTGCAGCCCACGCCCGCCCGCCCTCCCCAGGCTGGCTGAGCTCCATTCCCACGAAGGGGAGCAGGTACTTCCAGATGTGTGCCTGTGAGGCGGCCCAGGGGACACGCTTACCAGATGTGTGGACGTGTATGCCTGTCTAAATCAGGACGAATGGGGCCCAAAGCCCCCTTGGGTCTGGAGATGAGGGATTGCTGATGAGGTCTCACCTTGCCTTCCCCCCAGTTCAAGGCCAGGTGTGAGGATAAGTCTGCCTTTCCCATCAGGACTCAGCAGTGAGGGTCTCCAACCCTGCAAAAGAGATCCAAAATTGGGGACCAGGGCCCCATTGCCTTGAGTGGGCTGGAGCCAAAGGCTGAGCTGTCTTTCTCAGTGATCCAGCTCCTCCTGGCCCCTGGGAGGCCCCTGGGCCAGCAAGAGCAACTGCTCAGCTCAGCTCTTTCTCATTTAATGAACATCAGTTTCAATCACCCTCTGCATTCCAAAAGCCCCCTGTTTTTCTGGGGCTATGGTTCTGAGCCTGCCCGTTGCCAGCTATCCTGGGTCTGCCTATCACCAGCCTCAGTTTCCCCTTATGTGCCTCTGTGCTTTGTGCATATTCTGGGTTTCTAGGCAGGCAGCTACAGCCCTGCTGCCTTTAGAGCACTCCCTTCTCCTGCTCAACAGCAGGGGGCACTTTTGATCTTCCAGCAGAGCTCTGGCGATGCAGCCTCCACCCTCCCTTCAAACCGTGGCTGCCTAGCCTGCCAGCTCCTGAAAGGCCCCTCTGTGTGGCTGCTGCTGGCTCCCACCCCAGCCCACCTTGGGCGGTGGGTTTAGGTTTTGGCTGGCACGTACACCAAGGGACCTGACATCATGGAAAATACAAGAATTTACTATCTTCTCCAGGTTCAGAGCCACTCAAATGCAGAGTCATGCCTGGCTGCCCATTGGCAAGCTGTCCCTCCCAAAGCCCCTCGCCTCAGAAATACAGTCCCTTCCCTGGCTTCTTCCACCCACCGACCCAGCACCCCCAAACACTCTGGGCCTGGGCCCCCAGTGGCCTCTCCTCAATGATACGTTTTGCAGACCCATTTGCCTCTATATGAGCAGGCCAAAAACCCCCAGAAGCTGGACTTGCCAGGATAAAGGGCTGCAAGAGGTGTCCAGCTTCATTCAGCACTTGGGTGGCCCTGTACAGTGAGGAGTGGGCAGTAGCTAATGTCTTTACAAGAACCTTCTAGGGCCTCTTTGGCACAGAGGCCTTAGGACAGTGCTGGTGTTGAACAAAGCCCTACATATCCTTCTATAAAAGTGCTATGGCTGGACCTATGAGATGTGTGCTGTGTGCTGTAAGATGCTCAGGGGTTAAAGGTGCTTGAGTTAGAGGCCCACAACCTACATGGAGGAAGAAGAGCTCTGACTCCAAGATGTCCTCTGAAACACCCCTGTCTCTTTAAATAAATAAATAAATAAATAAATGGTTGGTTAAACACACACACACACACACACACACACACACACACACACACACACACACGTATATGCACTCCTCCCCCACCAGTATGTCGATGGGGTCTTAAGACTGGACTGACCCCATTTTACAGATGACACACCTGAGGCTTGGAACTAGAATTAGCCTAGAACCAAGCAACAAATGGTCCTTCACAATTGACTCTGTCTCCCTTTTCTCCCACAGGTCTCAACAAGTCAAAGTCCACCTGGAAGAGTTAAACCTGAGCCAGGAGGAGCCCAGTCCAGAGGATACTGTTGGGAGTTGTGAGGAGGCAGAAGAGGTAAGAGGTGAGGGCTCCCCCAGGGGCTGGGTCTGTGGTACTCCATAGTTGCTGTGGTCTCAGAATGACCTAGAAGAGATATCACTCACAACACTGTACTTGAGTCCTTCCAGGACACATTTTTGGAGGGTGGTAAAGTTGGTGACCCTCTGGGCAAGTTCCTCCTCCATGACCAAGAGACTCTTCCCAGCAGTCGGGGATTCCAGAGCTGTAGCATGTCAGGGCCAGAGCAGGCCTGAGGCCCCGGAGGGGAAGACCGCTGCTCCAACAGGCCCTGGGTGGGGCAGGAGGGTGCAGGGAGGGGTCATCTAAGCTGCCTGTGTTTCTTATCCGTAGAACCTGGCAAGTCATCAGGCCAGGACCCCCAGTCCTTTGGCCTTGGAAGAGACTGTTGAACCGAGTTCACCTCCCCTAAGCCCCACCACCACAGTAGGTGAAGCCTGAGCACTCCCTTTCTCCCTCCTTGTGTCCACTGTTCATGCTCTCTTCATCCCCTGCTGCACTGGTAAACCCCTGTGATATGGAAATGGGGTTGGGTCAGTGGGTAGACTCACTGGGGGAAGGATCGTGGACCTTGTGTGGTTATTCATGACCCAACCTCTGCACACTCCACAGCTGGCTGACAGGACCGAGTCCCTGAATCGTTCCATAAAGAAGAGGTGTGTCTATCTGATTTCTGGCATTTTCAAAGACACAGTGGGATAGCAGTGTGGGTTGAGATCAGGTGGTGCCCGGGAAAGCACCCTGGGTGGGCTGGGAGGACTTTGGAAAGGAACATAAGGCTTATCCTTTCTTCTACCCCCCAGCAACAGTGTGAAGAAGTCCCAACCAACCTTGCCCATTTCCACAATTGATGAGCGCCTGCAGCAGTATACCCAGGCCACTGAGGTGAAGTATACTCAGTTCTCTGAGGCCAAGCCTCCTCTTTAATAAGCCATTATCCATCACCCTAATGCCCATCACCCAAGCTGTTCTCTTCATCTCATAATGCCTCTCTCTACTCAACCAGTGTCTTTCTATCAACTCACATTGCCTCTTCTACCAACCCTAGGTCTGTCACATTACAACAGGCATGCCTCTGTCCTGTCACACGCCCCATTCAACCAGTGCCCCTCCACCATATAACACACCCTCATGCAGCCAATACTCCCCCAGTCTAACAAAGTCCACTTACTTAAACAACTTCCCTCCATCTAACCTATACCCCTCCATCAGCACCACTTTTCATTTTATACCCCTCCACCTAACCAACATCCCTCCATCCAACTAGTGTCTTTCTAATTAGTACCCCTCCACCCAGTATCTGTCAACTCAACTAGCACTTCTCCATCCAACCACCTATTGCCTCTATTCAGGCAAGATTCCTCTATATACTCTTCCTCCTTCATCAAACCTTCAGAATTGGGTGTAGCTCATGGGGCACCAAAATGAAGGATAGGACATCTATCCAGAATCCCTACCTCCATCAAGCACAAAGACAAACAAGGGCTGCTGATGTCCACCATGGTGACTGTTTTGCGGTTCTGTCTCCTCTGCAGTCTGCTGGCCGGACTCCCAAGCTGTCCCGACAACCCTCCATAGAGCTGCCCAGCATGGCTGTGGCCAGTACCAAGACTCGTTGGGAGACAGGAGAGGTACAGACTCAGTCTGCCTCCAAGACACCCTCCTGTCAGGTAAGATTCCTTCCCAGGCAGGCAAACTGGGAAGGCTGAGCATGGGAAATTGGCTATCATGGGGTGGGGTGGGGTGGGGTGGGGTGGGGATGCCCTTTGGAAAAGCAAACCTGGGATAGCCAAGGTGAAGTGTGGATGGGATAGGCTTCAAGACTCAAGGAAAAATCCATGTTGTCCTGATAAACAGGCAGTATGACTCTCCTTTCGTCCCTGCCAAAAGTGTGGTGGGTAGGTACTCCACCTTCCTGCCAGAGAATACCAGGCAGAAGAAAAGGCCCCTTAGCCATTATCTGTCCTGTGACACACCCTACCCTGTGTCTGCCCCCAGGATATTGTAGCTGGAGACATGAGCAAGAAAAGCCTGTGGGAGCAGAAAGGAAGCTCCAAGATCTCATCCACCATCAAGGTAGGTAGGTCTGTAGGTGCTAGGCATAGCCTAGTAATGAACAAAGATGGCTGCTACTGCATCCCACCCTAAAAGACATTCCTGGAGGCAGCAGCATCCCCCTGCTATAGCTATCTCTTTGACGCTTAGTCTCACCTAACAGAGCACCCCATCTGGAAAGAGGTACAAGTTTGTGGCCACTGGACATGGGAAGTATGAGAAAGTGCTCGTGGATGAGGGCTCAGCACCTTAGATCATGGATGTATCTTGGTGAGTCAAAGGACCAGAGCATGACAAAACGGGTCCTCCGGGGAACATACATAGATGAGCCATAACTCAGGTCTTGAGGGCTGGAGACCTAGCCTTAGATTTGTCATATCTCCTGTCTGTCTTCCTGATTCTCTGAAGCCTGGAATTCTGTCCCCTCAAGCAGGATCATGTTGGCCCAGTACTGTTCCCATTTAGGAACTCCTACCATATCCAGGGGGCTCATCATAGTGTGGGCCGACCCTGGAGAAACTGAGTGTGGCAAAGCTTCCAAAAGTGTGGATTATCATACATACAGTAAAGAAGGTGGGACCTTGGCTTGCCCCCTGCCCAGCTGAAGGCCCCTAGGGACTCTGATATTCTCCCCAACCCATGGAGAACACAGAGTTGATGCCTGCATAGATATACATACATTTATTGGTGGCTCTATCCACAGCAATAGTATCCATCATATCCAGGTGGGACTGGCAGCCTAACCCCTGCTGAATCCTGTTATGGTAGCTGTGACATGAAGCCTCTCCTTGCTCCTTTGGGTCTTTCCTCTCACAGCTGATGTTCTATCAGAGTTGGGCAGCTGTTAGGAAAGGTGTCCCTCTAGTGCCTGGCCCCTGCCTCTTTATAGCCCTCTGGCTTGACCAACTGTTGAAACTTGGTTGTGATTTGCACTTAGCCCTGCCTTAGTGTAGTCCTACCCAGTAAGCCTTACTGGCAGGAAATCAGAAGAAACACACAGGGCATCCTTTCTCCACTGCCCAATTGTTTGGACCTCTGAATACCCCTCATCCAAACCAGCTTGTACTGGGCCTAGAGCCCAGGGAGCCCAGGGCCTCCATGAGCCCTGGTCCTAAGGTCAGGCTCCCACCATCCATGAACATTCTCCAACCTTCATTCTCCTCCAAAACCTCAAACTGCCTCCAGCCACATGCTCCTGGCTTCATTCTTCTCTCTCACTTGTCATTTTTGCTCCCACCAACTCATCTGTGTCCATCCAATAGGCTCCTTTTAGCAGCCATGGCCATGCACCATTCTGACCCATTGTGTTCACTTGTGAGGACTGAGGCCCTCTCTCTGTATCCTCAGCCTCAGTCAGTCTCTGTCCACCCCAGTCCAGAGTCCCAGAAGCTACTCTGGTTACATCACTTGAGCCTCCAACCTGCTGCTGTCCGGTTGAAGTTCTTGGGCTGGGAATGCAGCTCCAGGATAGGGTTCAGGGTAGGAGGGGGGCGGACAGCCTCCTGTAGCTTCCGGGCATTGAAACGAGGTCGGCATAGAAAAGGCAGGTGGCTGAGGCAGGCCAGGGGGTGCCCCCCATCTCCAAGCCTCACAGGGTGGCTTCTATGGGACTCAGCCAGTGACATGCGGTATAGCACTGCATCCCACATCCTAGAGGCCCTGGAAGCAGGTGGCTGTGGGCCCACAGGAGCTGAAGCCTCTGGTTGCGTGGGTTCTAGGCTCAGCCCCGACTCTGGAAATGCAGGCTTCTCTGCCTCCTCCATCAGCTGCTTCTTTAGGCGTGTCCAGCCACTCAGGCAGGGCTTGGGTGCAACTTTGGGAACAGGGCATGGGTAGAGGCCCGAGGGGCCTGAGGCTTCTGGGAGACTGGATACATGCTTGGGCTCCATAGCATGGCTGGCTGTGGGCAGCTCCTCTAGGGGCTCTGCTTCAGGAGCTGCAGGAGCTGGGCTATAAGGTGAGGGTCCAGATGAGCGGTAGGTAGGGGCTATGGGTACCACCACACTAGCACCAGCCTCTCTAGACACTGAGGCCTGAAAGCTGGGTGTTGGCCTTGTTATAGGGGGTTCCTCGGGCCCAGGACTGACTGCCTGCACCCCGGTGGGCAGTGGGCGTATATGTGCTACTGGGATGAGAGGCTGGGTGCTAGCAGTGCAAAGGTTTTTATCCCCATCCAGGGCCATCCTTGGGGACTCAGAAGTCCCAGTATGTGAGGATGGGGATAGCCGGATATGCACTTGGGTGATGTGGGTACCACCTGCAGTAGGGGCAGATACATGGGCAAAGCCACTGCGGAGCCAGGCAGTTTCTGGGGTTGGGGCTTCAAGCCTAGGAGGTGCCTTGAAATGAGTTGCCAGACATCTTTGCTGAGGAAGGCTGAAAGAGAAAGTGGACTTCTGCAGGGGTGAGGCCACATGGTGAATAATGGGGGTATGTGGGGAGCGGGGTAGGGGGACCACTGTGTGAGGGGCCTCAGCAGGATACTGAACTGTGGTCTCCAGGTCATGACTGGCCTCACTCACGGGAGACAGGGAGGTACGGAAGGCCCCAGGTGGGGTGGGGGTCATTCCCACCATCTTCTTCCGAGCAGCTTTCCTCAGTAGCTTCTGAAGTCTCTGGTTGTCTTTTCCCGGTTTGGGCAGCAAGGGTGGTGGTGGCCCAGGGTGGGCCTCAGATCTTGGGCCACCTGCTGCTGGAGGCATCGACACAACTGAAATGAGCATTCCTGGTCTGGATAGAGGGGAGAAACAGTGGTCAGGCTGGCCCCCTCTCCTGCCCACAGGATGGGCTGGGTGTTTTCCTAGTTTATGAGGAAGTGGGAGAATGTGCAGACTCAGCTCTTAGAAGCCTACTTCCCAGGCTCCCCCAAAACTGCAAAGTACCTTCTAACCTTATGCACTAGTCACTGTGGCTTCATCATACCCTGGTATGGAGGTGAACTTATAGTGACTCCAGGTCACTTGGTGGGTGACAAGGGCTAGAACCTGCCTTCAGGGCTCAGTCCTCTGCGATAGCCCAGCACAAAGCTGACCCTATCTGCATGTACCAACTTGGACCCAGATCTAGAGTAGCGCAGGATGGGAACAGAGACCCACTGATGAACTGCAAGCAAACTGCTTGTGCCTGGCCAGCTGCCGGACAGTGGTAGAGGGCAGGCTGCCTGCCGACACGTGAAGGGCGCCATGCCGTCGCCAGCCTGACCACAGGCACGTCCGTGTGCTTTGAGACAGTGGTGAGGGGTGGCAGCCAAAAGGCTCAGGCAAGCTGAGGCTGTATCCTTAGAGGTAGATTGGCCGGAAGATGGGACCAGTTTTCGCTGAGCTATGCTGAATGGGATATCCCCACAGCCCTCCTGCCAAGGGTGGTCCTAGCCAAGCTGTCTGTCTTGGTTTCTGGGCGCCACGTGTTTGCAAGGACATTGACAAATGGCATCTGGGCTGAACTACTGGCAGCCATATGGTTTGGGGCAGAAGGAGGCCTATGACTGCTGCAGTAGGAGTTGGCTCTGCTGAAGCAAGAACAAACACTGGCAGGGAGGCTGGCGGGGTCTTTCCACACTTGCTCCCAGCTTCTGGGTTACCTTTAGGAAAATGGGACTTGAGAATTGGGGCATCTTTGGATTTGGTTAAAAGGGGCCTACTCAATGAGTAGCCAGTATTCCTTCTGAGCCAGCCTAGGCCCAGAATAGACTCCATCCTGAGAGCAGGTCTCCCACGTGACTGACCACTGTAAGCAGGAGCTTCCCCAGATAAGAATGGATGTGGTGAGGGCTGATGGCCACTAGGAAGGTAGGGTCATGAAGAGAGGCAGGCCATGCCTTTCCTTCCTAATTCACCCTATGCCTTTGCCTATGTTGCCAGGAGAGACTCCACTCAGATGCCACTCCCAGCCCTGACCAAGAAGTCGCTTCCTGTTGCCAGTCTGGCCTGCTCTGGAGCCTCCAACAGCCCAACTGCCACCTCCCCTCCTCTTGCTCCTGGACCCTCTATCTTCTATGCCCTCTCATTCTTTGACTGACCACCCCCCCAACTCTGCCTCTCATCATCAGCTAAAGGAACCACTCCCTAGAGGAGCCAAGAGCTCCCAAAGAAGAATGGAGGAGAGAAGGCCAGTATCTCAATCAGATCCAAGGGGTACCTGTCCCCATGCTGAATGTTCAGGACTCTTAGTCCTGTTCTTCCCTGTTTGCAGATCCCCCATTTTATGTAATAAAGCACCTTGAGTGGCCCCATGCAGTGGCTCTCCTGTGCTCACTAACAGGGAACCTGGGTGGTCAGAACAGAAAGTGCCACATCTGTTGGCCACCCCACACTGCATAGCATACATCATCTCTGCAGGCAATTCTGTCTTGTCCTATGGCCTTGCAGTGTGTTATGGTCCAGGATCTTAGGTATGGGGTGACCCAAGTTGAGGTATCAACAATGGATGTGGCTTAACTCCTCTTCCAGAACATTGGTGACACTTCCTTGCCTGAATAAAAATAAACCTACTAGCACCTGAACGAGAGCATTTCAGTCTGTTCCTGGTAGTGTCCACTAAGGACAAGTACTGCCACCAGGCATTCCCCATCTCAGTACCTGAGGGTGTTCTCTGAAGGTGTGATGGATGAACAGATAGATGGAAGGATTATTGGGTGGATAGGCAGTTAGGTGGATGGGTAGCTGATGGATGGATGAATGGATGGACTGATAGGTGGATTTATGGTAAATGAATGGATGAGAAGACAGATGGAGGGGCAGAAGGGTGAATGATTGATGGATTATTAGATACCTGAATGGGTAGGTAGATGGGTGAATGATGGATGGGTGATAGACAGATAGACAGGTGACAGAAGAGTGGGTGGGCTCATGGGTAAGTGGATGGATTGATGGATGATAGATAAAAGGATGGTTGGGTGAGTGTGTAGGTGGGAGGATAGATAATTGATGGGTATATAAAGGGATATATAGATACATGAGTAGCTGGATGGCTGTCTGGGTAGATGGATGGATGGGTAAGATGGAGAAGTGAATGGATAACGGGTGCGTAGAGGAATAATGGCAGGTGATGAGTGAATAGATGGTGAGTGAATGGATATGCTGATGGGTAAGTAGTTGAGTGGATGGATGGATGGGTGGATGGACTGATGGATGAGAAGATGGATAGGGAGGTGAGTAGAAAATGGTGAAAAAGAAGAAAGGAAGGGAAGTAGTGAATGTGAGAGCTGATGGTGAGGATGAATGAATGTATAGTGGCTGAACAAGTGTGTGAATGACAGTTGGGCTGTGGGATGTTGTCCTCAGGGGCTCCCTCCCCTCACAGGCCTGCCCATTGGCCTCTGAACCCTGTTGCTTCTAGAATCTGGAGATCCTTGACTGATGATGGTCTAAGCTTGACAGTGACATCCACCTAGATACTCAGAATCTTGACTTTCTGAAAGCTTCCAACTCCACTGGTAGGAACACATAGCTCTGAAATACTAAAGCTCAGCAGATACAGCTGCTGAATGGGTAGATGGACCCATTCCTGCTCACAGCCCCACCATGATAGAGCCCTGCTCTGCATAACCAGGAGCTTCTCCCAGGACACAGGACACTCCCTGCCCTTCCTACTCAGATAAGGTGATGACCAAGGGCAGCAGGCAGAAGCTGTTTCAAGGTTAAGGGGACAGTGAGTGAGACTGTAGCATAGAACCAGAATGGGATGTCAAGTGGCAGAGAGAAAAGTGTTTATTGCACCATGCTCCCCTAACTTGCCCAGCTTTGTTCTTGGGCCTTGGAAGGAGAGTGCATTGTGTGCCCTCTAAGTACAACTCTGCTAAATCTTTCTTGAGTCTCAGGTGTGGTGTCTACCTCCTGCTATAACACTGTCCACCTTGCCAAAGACACCAGGACACTACCCTTCCATCTCCCCGCCTGCCTCCTGAGGGGCCCAATAGCTGCTGCTGCTGCTTCCACGCCCTGCTCAAAGTGAAGTCCCACGTACATGGGAAGTACTCTAATACCTGCAGAACCAATCTATGTTTTTAGAACCAGGAGACGCTGTCATGCAGGGAGGCAGCTGCTGCCCAGATCACAGCTGCTGAGTCCCAAGTGCCACGTCAGCCAATCCTATCCTGGGCTTGGCAGAGCTAGCCATAGTGGGTCAACTAGGGGTGCTGGGTGAGGCTCAGGGTCCACGGGTTCTTCCACTCGCAGTCTGCTAAGAACCCCACTATCCTGGGAGTAACCCATATTGGCTACTGGAGCCAAGACACTGGAAGGACAGGCCCTCCTCAACCTTCTCTGTTCTCTAGACTCAGTTCTTCATTCACCAACTTTGATGGATCTTCCACGACCACTCTGAAAAGCCTCAAACTCCACTGCTTCTCAGTCTCTGGGTAGAATGTCCAGCTCCCATTCAACAGACTTTGTCTCTCACCCCCACCAGGGTCTCCAGTCCTCTCCCAGATCCCCAGCAAGACTTTTCTCTATCTCCTTTCCCCCATCAAACCCCAGCCAAGCCAAGTAGGACCTGTTGTGTATTACCTGGCATGTGTTACCTGCTCAGGTCTTTAGTGGCCGGCAGCAGCTGGTCCAGCAGTGCCCACTCTATGCTGTCCTGCTGTACCTTGGGCCTGGTCCCCTGAGAAGGAGATGTCTGTTACCCAAAATAAGACCTGCCCTGTCTCTCTGACCTCACTGAGAGTGCCTGCCAAAGGCTTCTGAAGTGGGCAGCCACCCTCCCCTGCTGGCCATAAGGAGCCATTACAGAGAGAGTAGCATACCCACCTATAGAACTCTAAGGACCCCCATTCCTCTCAGACAAGAGTTTCTGGATGCAGGGTTTTCACAACCACAGACTGGACCAAATCCCTCATGTCTGTTCTCTGCGTTCCTCAGCTGAGGGATGTACTTGGTCCCAGTAAAGCCAGATGAGAAAACAAAACAAAACAAAACAAAACAAAAACAACAACAACAACAACAAAAAAAACAAAACAGGAGGTTGGCCCCACCACAGGAGAGATTGAGTCCCCTTGCACCATTGTGGAACTTTATAAACTCTACATGACCCCCAAGGTCAAATTGAGCTAGATATCCATGCTATTCGGAGCTCACTGAACCCTATCTATCCAAGAACATGGATGGGTGTGGAGGGAAGCATAGGCTCTGGCCAGGAAGGTTGGGGTAGTCCAGCAGCTCCAGCTTGGGGGGCCTCTGAGGGACAGGTGCTTGGGGTAGAGGAGAACAGGAGAGAAGGCCTGTTCTATGAGCCAGTGGCTAGAAGACTATTCCTACCCAGCTTTTGACTACAAGGCGGGTCTTGTGTATCTCTGGCACTCTATGGCCCCATCTCTAACATGTAGGAAGTGGTTGGTGGGCCAATCTCAACATTCAAGAAACTCTTAGATCCAGCTGATACTGGGACATTGTAAGTCTCCTGCCGGTCATCCTGCTGTCTCTATCCCTAGGATGACAAAGAACAGGAGCCCTGTCTGTGCCGTGTCCCCCCAGAGTTCACCTACCATTATTTTATACTTCACATTGGCTTTTTCCCTGAACTGGAAAGATCCATGAGCCCCACCAGCTGTGTCCAACCTGTGGGGGTCCGGGAAGGTTGAGGGAGTGAGTGGGAAGTGCCAAGTTGGTCTCTTACTGCTTGGTGCTTTGGTTTCCCTAGAGGCAGGACTATCCAGGCACATAAGGCCTAGGAGAGGTGTCCATGGTTGGATGGTGCCCCCTGGAGTCTTGAGGAAAGAAAGGCTAGGCACATGGCCAGGCCTGCTCAGAGCCCAGCAAGGCCTATAGATCTCCATGACTTAGTTGGGAACCCCTGGACCAATAACAGGCCCAAACATGACCCAGCCTTCCCCAATCACTGAGGAAGATGGACAACCACCACAGGGTTTATTTAGGTCATTATTTCTCTTGTCTTTTCATGATATGTTTTCCAATAATGTCTACTTGAAAAAAATAGGCCTGGCCTCTAAGGGCTTTGGTGAGATGCAGGCCAAGGATCCAAGGTCCTTTATTCTGTGGGTGTCTTGAGCTGTCTCTATGATAGAGATGTAGGGCAGAGCTACAGGGGTGCCACATAGAGTTAGACCCCTATGTTGACCAAAGTACTTACTCCTATAAGCCACCTTGGGCAGAGGAGCAGGGGTCCAAGGAACTTGAAACCCAGGCTCTGATGACCCCTCCCCAGTACCAGTCTGGCTCAAGAACAAACACCTTTGGCTCCACCTAATCCATTCCTCCTCCCTCAGCCCATCAAGCATGTACCCGTTGCTGAGGGGGAGGGTAGGTAAAAATAGCAACTGACACCTTTCTAGGACAGTTGGGGACCTTGCCTTCTCCTCCAGGCATGTCTCGTCCATCCTTTCCTCCTTGGGCCTCCTCCTCTGGGGCATTCCTATACTTGGTCAGGGGCCTGCTTGGGCACACCCTCCCCCTCCCCATGCCCCATGCCCCAGCCACCCATCTGCTGACCAATGGGCTGCCAGGGAAGATCAGATATCACTATAACATGAAGGGGTGAGGCTTGTCAGACACTGCCTGTTGCTGGTCCTGTCCACAAGGAGCCCCCAGCCTTTCTCAGACTCAACTGCAGGTGAGTATGGATGCAAACAGCCTGCCTAGGAGTGGGTGTTGGGTAACGAACGTGTGAGGAGCACTCAAATGGGTCCTGGGCCTCATGCTGTGTTGTATATTGATAACTAGAAGCATGGTGGCTGAGCCTTGGGATGACACAGAAGAACTGCCACCAAACCAGAATAAAAGGGCATGGGAGTAGGGAGGAGTGGGTATCCTGGGAGGCTCAGGAGCAAGGAGCCCTCCTAAGGTAAGATCTAGGGAGAAGTGCAGAGGGTGAAACAAGTATCCACTCAGGGGACATTACCCAGAACTCCAGGACTGTCTGCTGGGATGCACTGGGTGGGAGACCCTCTGGGGCTGTGTAAGAGTGACCTTAAGGAAGGAATGGGATTTTAACTCATCCCTGAAGCCTAGGGCTCTGGTCCCTAAGCTACTCTTGCCATTTTGTAGATATGGACTTATGACCCTAGGAAGGAGCTCAAAGGGAGAGGTATCTGGGGCCCCCTGGGGCAGAACCTTACAGTTCAGGTCAAGGATAGACAGGAACCAAGCTGAAGTTGGACAGAGAGAATGGGAAGGACTGGACCTAAGCAGGAAGGTCATATCTGATCTTGCTTATGGCTGGGAGAACAGGTGGTCCCAAGAGACCCTAGTCCTCTAGGCCCTAGCCTTTCTGAAATCTCCAGGTTGGTGACTCTAACTTTCTGGGTGTGTGCTTTTTAGCAGTCCTTGGTAATCTTTGCAGCAGATGGAACCAGACAAGGTTGGTCAGAGGGTACTGGGCCCAAGGAAGGAAGTGATCAGGGTCCTATAGCAAGTGAGTGGCAGGACCTCCTGGCCCCCTTCACTCTTTGTCACCTTTGAAGGATTGGAGGTTGGCACGTACCCACAAGGAACCTGACCTCACAGGCTATTTTCATCAACCCCCTTCTAAGGCAAGAACTCAACACAAGACAACTGCTTTCCCTCTCAGTTGTTGATTGGCCAGTTCTGTCCCATCCCTGCTACCCCATTTTTGCCTCTCCCCAACTTACAGGGATATTGAAATGGGGGTAGAGAAACCCAGATATGCTTAAGTGGGCCTTTAGGAGCTCTATAGATGACCAGGAGCCTCAGTTTCCCAACCTGGAACGAGAGTCATTGCTACCTCACTTTGGAAGGGTGCAAGGCAGCTCTTGCTGGATGCCTGTAGGGAGCCAGGAAGGGAGCCAAGATGGCTGGGTTGCTCTCAGTACCCTGCCCCCCTGCCATCTTGGGTTTCAGGACAGAGGAGTCTTGCTAATTTTGGTGCCTATTTTTGGACACTTCAGCTGCCACTGGCTCCTTATAAATGCACAACCCCCCACTACCCAACCCTCTGCTGCTGACAGGTGTGTGGGCCCAGTGGAAACCAGAGGTGGGCAAAGCAGGGTGGGGTCTCAGTGCCACTGCTCCACCCCACTGACCTTCCCACCCAACAGAGTGTCCCTGGGTGGGTATGCAGAGGGCAGTAAAGGAGGAGTTAGAAGGACTGGTAGGGATCAGAGCCAAGTAAGAAGGTTGGGCAGCTCTGGCTGGGTAGCTTATTTATGATTGATGGAGTCTCCCACAAAGGCTCAGAGATGAGGCAGGGCTGAACCTGGTCCTTGGTCAAGAGCCTCCCAGGTATCTGTGGGTTAATTTTACAGGAAGTCTCAGTAGTTCTGGGAAAGCTTATGTTATCAACAGGGCTTAGAAATAGCTCCCACCTTAGCATCAAGCTGCTGGGGCATTTTTAGCCCCTGAACAACCGTTTTCTTATATGTGCTCCCTGGGGGCACCCGAGCTATTGTCTTCAAGTCAGCTGTGTTGTGTTGTTATGAACATTGTTTGTCAGATCTCAAGTCAACATTCTGATACAGTTCTTTGAAGGTTCCCAGGCCCCAGGCACTGCAGGCATGCACAGTGACCAGTACACAGGAACCACCAAGTTGTCTGTCCTGGTAGCCACCATACCTGAGCATGTGCATCTAGTCCCAGATCTGAGGTGCTCAATCTGTTTAGTACATGCATGTCAAACTCAGGCTTCCCACAGAGAAGTTTCTCAGACCCACCCTGGTGAGTTCAGTCTCCATGTATTTCAGGAGAAAGGAGACCAAGAGACTGAACACTTATGGGCTCTGTGATTTGAAGGGTACCTCAGAGGGTTTCAGAGAGCACAAAAAAGGACCTGGGCTACCCTGAAAGTAACTTGGACTTTCAAGAAAAACTTGAGGTTTTGGCTCACTCGGAGAAGAGGAGCCAGAGGACTGAGAATGTCTGTAGCCTCGGAGCTGGGCTCACCCATTTTGGGGTGATTCCCCAGCCAGAGGCCATCAACTCAGACCAGCAAGGTGTCCCCAGATCCAGAGGGCCATGTAGCTCTTACCCCTGACCTGAGAAAGTCTCTGCATTTTGGATGGCTTTCTATGAAAATACTGTAGAGGGGATGTCTGTCCAGAGTGGGATGTACACAACAACCTTCCAACAGCAAGTCAGTTGTGGAATCTAAGTTCCAGGCTAGAACCAGAGAAGGAAGAAGAGGAACCATGGGGAGAAGGGCAGATCAAGGGGACCAAGAGGTGGCCCTCAATTTCAGTCTATAGACATCACCTCTTGGCTCCAATCTCTGAGAGCCTGGCCCCTTGTGAGGCTTCTAAACCAAGGCAATTCCTAACTGTCCCATCTCTTGTCATTCCCTCTTCAGACACAACTCACCACCACCATGTCTGACGAGGAAACGTGAGTACCCTGCTGTATGGTTGCCTCCCTTACTGGTGGAATAGAACCCCTGGTTCCTACAGATGTTTGTCCCAGGTCAGAAACTCAAGCTCACCTCACTTTTCTTCTCTCTCTTTCTCCCTCTACCCACACCACCGTGACAGTGAACAAGTCGAGGGTAAGTGTCTTCTCTATTTTCTCTCTTTTTATTTCCATCTCTAGACAGAAGAGTCACCCTTGGGGGGGGTAAGCTTTGACTATTGACAGCACTCATCTCTTGGGGACCCCTTGCCCAAGAGACCCAGACCAGCTAGATTTGTCATTGGGCTTCAAAGACACCCCTCTCCCAAACTGTCTTAAACCTCTGGCATACATATTTTTCTTCACACTTTGACTTACCCCAACCTGTATACCTGTATGTCTGTGATGCCTTGAGGACTCAAGAGGCAGCCTCTCTGTCCTTGTCACCTTTGGTTACTCATATGGCCATAGCAGGACATGACATCTAAAGATATCCTACGTCACCCTTGTGGTTGAGACATTTTCCCTTCTAAGGTCACAAAGCCTCTGTGTGTGTGTGTGTGTGTGTGTGTGTGTGTGTGTGTGTGTGCAAGGTGTGCTACACATGTGTTTGTATGTGTGGGCCAGAGGTCAACCTTGGATGCCATTTCTCAGAAGCTGTTCACCTCATTTTTGGAGATGGCAGTGGCAGCGGTGGGAGTCTGGGGGAGGCTCTCTCACTGAACCTGGAGCTTGATGATTAGCCTAGACTGGCTGGCCAGCAAGCCCTGGCAATCCTTCTGTCTCTGCCTCCTCAGCATTGGGATTACAAGAATGTGTGACCATACTTGGCTTTCTATTTGGATCCTGAGATCCTACTCGGGTCCTTGTACTTATATGACAGGCAAGCACTTTGTTGACCCACCATCTCCCCAAGCTATCACAGGGTCTATTTGGGCTGAGGATCCCAAACCTGATTTCCTAGCCAGGAGAAGTATCCAACTATCTTGGGACAGAACAGGCTGGTCCTTCAACTGCCTCGCCTTCTCCAGTCCCATCTCTGCTAACTGGGATCCTTTCTTTTGTTCTATTCTAATGCAGAGCAATACGAAGAGGAAGGTAACTTGGGAAGCCACAGGCCTCTCAATGCCCATCCTTGGGAAGGCCTTGACAATTAACTATCTACTTCCCTCATCATTAATGCACCATTAACCATCACCATTTGTCATTAACTCTGCTATTGATTAATAATGCCATTATTTAATTAATGGTCAATGGCTTGGTCGTTAATTAAATTATTAATTCTCTATCTCTTCAACTGATTAATAGACACTCATTAACCACTCACACATGCTCTTTGGTCACTGTGTCCACAGTATGTGAAGTGGGATGTGTTCTGGCCATTAAAACTCTTATTCATTAATAACAAGGGTCTTGATCCATGCACTGTAACCACTCAGAGTCTCCGTAGCCTCTCTTCTAGTCTCCCTAGCTGTCTCTCTCTTTCTCTGTCTCTGTATCTCTCTGTCTCCATCTCTGCTTTTTTCTAGCCCCATCTCTCTGTCTCTCTTTGTCTATCTCTAACTTTCTTTGTCTCTCTTCATCGTTCTCCATTTCTCTGTTTCTGTCCTTATCCCTTTGTCTTTCTCTGTCTCTCAGCATCTCTTCTTCATTGTACCCTTGGGCTGCTGGAGACCCCTCCCTGGCTCTGTCGTGCCTGGGCAGGTGTGGGCGGGCAAAGCGCTGAGTACTGGTGTACCTGGGAGCAGCCTAGGACAGCAGTTCCCAGGCCTGACAAGCTGTCTGCTCCTGGCACCTGCTCAGCCTAGGGAAGCTTCACACATCTCACCAGACAGGCCATCCTGCAAGGGCTGCTGGGTGCTATGTTTTCAAAATATTTTGAAAATACTCGCTACCTTAACAACCTGAGCAAACATCTTGCTGCCAGAAGATGAAAAAGCTGGTTTCTGAGTGAGATGTGGCCCTGGGGGCTGCCCTTTCCCCTAGGAAAGGCCAGAAGGGTCCTGTTTCCTCAAAGCCCCTTGACACCAACCTTTATTCCTGACAACTAGATGGGATCTCCTGGGTCAGAAATGGTCTGAGCACATGGAGTTTCCCCCAAACACATGGGCTTTGTCCCTGGTCCTCACTTCCATATCCTATAGAGCAGAATCACAAATACCCAGACATGGGATGAAGGATGTAGAGGGCCAGGCCTGAGGAAGATACAAACTCAGTGCCCCAGCAGGCACAGCAGTGGCTGATGCTCAAGGGCTCCTGCTCACTATGGCTAGCTGCTGTAGGCCAAGCATAGGAATCTGGCCTGCTCAATATGCTCAGCCCAAGAGAGCCCAGGAAAGCCCTGTTCCTAATGTCTGTCCTTGTTCATTCTCTCTCTTTCATGCCATCTCTCTGTCACCTTTGCTCACCCTCAGAGGAGGCCCAGGAAGAAGGTGAGTTGGCTTAGGACTCAACCCCCATTTGCCCTTGTCCTCTGCCCTAATGATGAACTTGGTATCACCTTCCCTCTTATTGGGCTGTGACCTCAGCCCCTGTCTCTAAGGGCCTTTATGCTGCGTGCTCCTTTCTAATCCTTTCCTCTCTCCTCCCTGCCACCCTGCACTCCCTGGCATTCCTCGGCTGCAGAAGTCCAGGAGGAAGGTATGAGGATACAGGACTTCTGGTCCCCATGTGGAGCCCAGGGTCTGGCTGGAGCCATGTGGTGTGGGGAAGAGAGCAGGGAAGCAAGGAGGCGCCAGCCAACCACGGAGCCCCCCATGTGGCCCCACATAACCCACTAACCAAGGCCAATGCTTGACCAAAGAGAATGAGGACTCCAAGAATCCCCACAGACAACATAGTTGTCCCAACTTCTGTCAGATGCTTCCAACACTAGAGAAGGCAGCCTAGTACAGGAGAAGGGGGAAGACTCTAGTGCCAGGTGTAGATTGAGCCCCCCTTCCCCAGAGAAGCCAGTGAAAGCCCATGGTGGTGACTGAGACCTTTGTTAGGCCAGACCCACTAGGCCAAGTGTCAGAAGAGCTCAGGTCATTAGGGAGAGATGCAGGAGTAGCCAGAGATCCTGCTTCAGGGCCTGATGTGAGGACAGCCCAAGGCCTCATCCCTAGTCAATTTCTCAAGCCTATGTACCCCATCAACCCAAACACAGACCCACCCCAACCCTCTTTAGGGGCTACCAGGCAGAAGCCCAAGGAAAGGGCTTTTGCACCTAGCTCTGGGATGGCAAGAAAAGAGGTGTTTGGAACATGCCTTGGTTCTGCTCCCCTTGGATACCAGAGCCTCCAAGTAGGCTGCAACTCTAGGCTGGGCCTGGCTAAGGGCAGATAGGAGGGAGTAGGCCAGGGAAGGAACCAAATGAGGCACTGCAACAAAAGCAAGAGCTAGAATCCCAACCCTCATCTCAGTTTCTCCACTTGTGAAGAAGGACAGGTTGGGGGGTGGGTGAGTTTGGTTCTCCTCAGCCCCTCCAGTTCCCAAGTTCTGAGTGGGCCCCAGAATCTAGGCTATGGGATCAAGGGTGGCAGGACCACAGCTAACTCTGACAGTATCTTGCTCGCTTCCTGCACGTATCCCACCCCTCGGTGACCGGCTGTTTCCTTTTAACCTGGATCCCTTCTCTGACCTCTGACCTCTGACCTCTGACCCGCGGTTTTGCCTCTTGTTCCATGGCCCTCCTTAGCCCCCGAACCAGGTATGTGACATGACTTCAATGCCACATGATATATGTGGCCATATGGGTATGTGTGCAGGAGTCAGCCAAGAAGGAACAAGAGGGTGCCATGTAACTCACCCCATCTCTCCTGTATACCTATCCCTGTCCCCCCACACACTGCCCTCCATTCATTCATTCTCTCTCCTCCCTCCCTCTCTCCTCCCCTGGTGCTGCTCCACAGAGGAAGTCCAAGAAGGTAGGTCCAGGTCTACCTCACAGCCACAAAGAGCCTTCCCCTCCTTCCTCTCCCCTCTGTGACTGCCTGCCTTCCACCCCTTTTCCAATGTACCCACCACCAACTAAGCTCTGCTGGCCTCTGGGGTGAGGACAGTACAGAAAATAGGGAAGCTAGCCTGGTCTGCTGGTCTAGGTGGCTGGCAATGGCAGTCCCCAGTCACATTGTTTAAGGGCAAGGAGAAAAAAAGCTCTTCTTGGACCTTCATTAGGAAGATTGAATGGAACATACGGGCTATCCTGGGTCTACAGGGCCAGCCTTAGGAAGATGGTGCTGGAGACCCCCTGGGATCCTCTGGGGCTTCCTCAGGACAGGAAGAGCAAAGCAGAGAGGCTGGATAGGTAGCCTCCAACCTACCCCAGATATCAAGCCAAAGGGAGGAAAATAAGGAGTGGCGAAGCTGAAAGGAAGGTGGAGGGGCAAGTGGGGTGAAGCAGAAAGTCAGGCTGAGGCCCAAGGTGGGGATGTCACAGACCTGGAACAGCCGGGGGCCATGCATGCGAACAGGCAATCAGTCAGATCCCAGCATCCCACCCAGCTCCTGGGCCTGAGCCAGACACACCCATCAAGCAGAACTGACAGGGGTTGGGGGGGGGGCAACTGTTAGCCTAGCAGCAAGGCTGGTTACACTGGAGAAGGGAGGAGGGGCTGAACTCTGGGAGCCCATTTCAGCCCCTCCATTTACATGCTTCCAGGCTCCTGGTGGCTGGGGTTTGAGCAGCATCTGGATAATGCTAGGAGAGGGACCCAGGATGTTTTCAGGCCACACATCTTAGGTCACCAGTCCTCCCAGGGACCAGAACCAAGATTGGCAGGCAAATGGACAGACAGGAGGATGGGGAGACCGAGCACAGAGGAAACCTTACCTTGACACTATGCAGCTGCCTCTCATGCAACTCTAGGGAGCACCCCATCCTTCCCTGTCCCCAGAATCTCAAAAGAGGAGGGTGAGTCCACCAGCCCCTTAGCTTCCTTCCTCAGGCCACTCCCCTTGACCTCATGTAAGAGTAGCTCTGCAGTACCCCACTGCACTGCCGCTCCTAAAATGTTAGGCAAGAGTGGCATCAGGCTTACCAACAGACCTAAGTAGCCTATTCAGGCAGCGCTGCCACACACTTTGGTTGTTAAGTCACCATGTGTCTTTTGAAGGGGTGAGAAATAGATGTTCCAGAAGGGCGCTGGTCAGAACCTGCAGGTGAGACCCTCACCCAAACCTTGGATGGGGCCTGTTGGCTCCTGGCCAAGTGCAAAGGTTCTAGGGGGTCGCAGATGCTTTCCCTGCCAGGTCTTACTGTATGCCGGGCAGTATATACATCAGTGGTTTTGCTTCCGCCTAAAGCTAGAGCAAGGCTAAAGGACAGTGCAAGAAAGGGTGATGCTGAGCAGCTGCAGGCCCCGACTGTGGTCAGTACCAGCCCCATCATCTGTGGGAATGGGTCACACTCAGAGGAAGCAGCCCTTCCTCAGGGCAACCAGCTTAGGCAAGGTTCTAAAGAAGGGGGAGAAGAGAGGCCTCAGCAAGACTCATGGGAAAAAAGCCTCTTAGGGGTCAGAGGACAGGTTCCCAGGATCAGGAGGCCCCCATCCTAAGGGCTGAACCTGTCAAAACTCACAGATATGGATGAGCCAAAAATATTTTTGGATCTCAGGCAGGCTCTATGAACAAAGACTTTTACAAGGAGTTTGAAATAAAGTGACTGTAAAAACCACACTATGTGCCCAAGTATAAGACTATAAGTGGAAAGTAATGGAAGAGTCCATGACAGCTGGAAGATAGAGTAGCCTCAGGATCTTCCCAGTATCACACCTAGATCCAATCACCATGTTGGGCAAGGCAGGTCCCCATGTTCTCTACTCACAGCCAAGCCTTCTTGCCCAACATGCATAAAGCCCTGGGTTCAATTCCCAGTCCTGCACAAACCAGGTGTGGCAGAACATACTTGTTATCACAGCACTTGCAGGGGTAGAGGCAGGAAGATAGAGTCTAAAGTCATCCTTAGCTATATTGAGAGTTAGAGGCCAACCTGGACACCAAGGGTCCATGAAGGGGGCCAGGCCTGTGGGAAGGCGTAGGAGCTGCTCTGCCACCCACAGGCACTGGGCCCTATGCGTGCCTGCCTCAGCTGTTCGTGTGGCCACTGCTGCTGTGTGGCCTCTGCACTTCTGCAGCTGCGCGGCTTTTTTCTTGCATGTGCGCTTGTGCCCACACCATGAAGATGCTGTCGCCGAGGAGGAGCAGGAGGAGGACGAGGAAGGTAAGGCCTGCCAGCCGCTGTTGCAGCCCCTTGCTCCACCTGCACAGGACTCTGGCTCTGCCTGGGTGAGGCGAGAGGACCCAATGGCCCAGTGTCTGTCGCTGACTCCCCAGCCCTTTCACTTTGTCCCTGTGTCTGTCTTCCTTTTCTCCCTGGCATGGGACCTCAAGAAGCTGAGGCTTTATGTGCATCCACCATGGAGTTAGGGGGCCAAGGTCAAGTGTCTGTCCACTCAAAGACAGGGAGATAAGTCAGCATCCTAGACACATCCCTGACTTTCCAGAAATCTGTCCTCCAGGCCTCTTGTCTTCCTACCTTTCCCTCCCTCCCAGCCCTCTGGGGACACATATGTCTTGCTGTGGTTTCTCCCCTCATCCCCGCACCCTAAGTCCTTCTTAGAGCCCATGGAAATTCACAGGTTTCTGAATAGTTGAGTGGGTCTGGGCGGGCTGAGTAGAAGTCCCCAGCCTGATGGTTCCTATGGCAGGAAGGACCATCCTATCTGACCTGATCTCTTTCTTCCTTTCCCCATGCTGGCTGTCATGACTAGAGGAGAAACCAAGACCCAAGTAAGTGTGGGATCTAAGCAATACTATGGGGAATGCCAGAACAGGGCAGGGTGGGAGGCCTGGGACTTTTTTAAAAGAAAAGCCCAAATGGTGGAAGATGATAGGGACCAAAGTTGCCAGTAGGGATGAATAAAAAGACAGTAAGTTGTGGTTCTTCTCCATCAGCCAGTGCAGTCAAGGAGGCCACTAACCATGGACTAAGTAAGGCTTAGAATGGGATGGAGGGCATCACATATCTGCCATGCCTGGCTATGCTGGGAGACAGCCCAGGTCTCCAGATATATATGGGGGTGGGCTTGAAGGGCAAGGATCTCCTGCTCGAGATGAGAACCCACTCTGGATTGACCTGATCCAAAAGAGACAGAGCTCCCTGTGAGCCTCTCTGCAGAGGTTATACCCTAGCCTCTCTTACTCACTTGTGAGTGCACCAGGGGGTAGTTGAATCCAGAATCTTGGGATTGCAAGCCCACAGCCCTCCATATAAACCCCCTTTTTGTCCCTTTAAGCCTTTATGCCTGTTGCACACTCTGAACCAGGTTGAACTTTTGGCACTTACCCCTTGCTTCCTCCCCATCCTTGAGGGAAGAGTAGAGCTAGGTGAGGAGTGTGGCTGGCCCACACTCCTCCCTTGAATGCTGTTTTAAATCAAGCTCACATAAAGTAATGCAGGATTGTGAGATAGTTTCTCATCTTAGAGAAATTATTTATGTTCTCAATATGAAAATAAAACACCTCATTAAGAAAATTTGGAAAATACATGAAAGTCAAACGAAGAGGGGAAAAAAATCCATCCATAATTCTCCCACCCACCCACCAGGCAGCCTGTGGAAAGAATCAGGGAGGGGAAAAAAGGTCTTTATTTCTTCCTACTCTTTCTTTACACAAAGTTCTTGGAAAATAAAGAACTTGACTATGTTTTTTCAAGCACAGGACTGTCTATATAGCCTTGAATTCCACTTTTAAAAAAATTTAGCACTATTCATAAGTATTTTTCCATGTTTTTACATAGTCTTCTTAAATATTTTGAATGGCCACATAATATTCCATCAATTGGACAAACCATAATTTTCCTAACCATTCCCCGATCACAGGCTTCCCCCAATATTTTACAATCATAAATAACACTGGTCAGAAAGCATTTTCCATCTTGAGGGCTGTTTGCCTAGGCCACATTCCCAGAACTGGAATTACTGGGTCAAAGAGGACCAATGCTCTGAAGACTTTGACATTCACTGCCAAGTTGCTTTCCACCAGGGCCCAGCCAAGGCGGTCTCCTACGTGGGCTGGGAGCAGTCTTGTGTCCCACACCCTCCGCGCCCAAAGGCGGGAATGGGTGTCTGCCCCTGACCCGTTGATGAGCAGCCAACCACATCTCATGGTTGCCTTCGCATTCCTCCGATGGCACCACCACTAACGGTCCATGTTTGTTAACTGGTCGTCTTTCTTTGCGAGTCAGTGGCTTGTGCCCCTTGCTCGTTTATCTCATGGCCAACACGTCTCCGTGTTTGCTTAATCGTCCGTTTACTCAGGGATATAAATCTTCTCTGTATTTGCTGAAAAGTTGTTTTTTTTCTTTTTTCCAGTCTGGTTTTTCCCTCTGCATTTCGATTTTTGCTCTCCCCTGCACACACATACATAAGTTTTTCATTTGCACAGCATCATCTGTACAGCTTTCCCTTGGAGGGAACTTTGGGGCTTCAGAGCTTAGAAAAATCCCTTCCCTCTCCAGGTTTTGATCGCTATTCAGCTCCCCTTTCTTCTGTGGCCTGCTTCTAAAAGCCGCGGTTGTCTGGGCTCCCTGCTCCATCTGGAATGTGTTGGCAGGAAGAGGGGGTCGCACAGCCAGCGGGCTGGGGGCTCCTTTTCCCCTTACAGGCTCGCCTTCATTTGGGCGCCCAGAAAGAAAGATTTAAAACGTGTCCAGAACCACAGGACAGGTCTCACCCCAGAAGCTGATGCCAATTACTGCCCCTGGAGGGCTTGTGGTGGCCACCCTGCCTTCTGCTAGGACTTGATTACATTTGTTTATGTGTCTGAGAAGGTGGCATGAAGCAGTGAGCAAAACAGAGGTGGACACAAACAGCGTGGCACCTTCTAGGAAGGAACAAACTACTCCTGGGACATGGGCTAGAAACTTAAGAACAAAGAGCCAGGCAAATCTGCTTTAGTGGAGGCGTGCTCTGTTGGGTGCCAGGGTGCAAGAAAGAGGAAGAGGCCAGCCTAGATTCGAGGCCGGCTGGCCTCCACTGTGGGAAGGTTCCAGTTGTCCCTGATTATGAAACAACCTCTGTGTCTCTTCCCCAGACTTACTGCTCCTAAGATTCCAGAAGGAGAGAAAGTAGACTTCGATGTAAGTTTATGGGGTCCAGATCACCCTCATTCCAAGCTCCAGCCTTTGAACTTTAGGCTGGGCTTCAGGTCAAGTCTTCCCAAACAGCCATAAGCAAGGTAGCTCATCTCTAGGCCACACTCCCATAATTTGCTCATAGACCCAAGGATATATAGGTCCCTTTTCTTCTCCTCCACCCACTCGTCTACCCACCCATCCATCCACTAATCCACCTACCCTTTCACTCAACTGTCTATCATTTTATCCACCCACCCATCTATGTATGCAGCAAATCAATCTTCTCTGTTTGGCCCAAGAGGACATCTCTGAGGAGGATAATAGAGCCAAGTCTGAGACAGGTCACTTCAAGGATGGTTCTGGCTTCATGATTAGTCAGGGTCTGGGTTCTTCCATAGAAAAGGCATTATCTGCACCCTGGGGTTCCAGGCTAGGCCACTCTGGGACTCAGGAAGGTGCCCCGAGCTGCAGGTGGGTCCCAGGCTGGCCAGGAGGGGTAGAAACTTTTCTTGTGCCCCCAGGATATCCAGAAAAAGCGTCAGAACAAGGACCTCATGGAGCTCCAGGCCCTCATCGACAGCCACTTTGAGGCTAGAAAGAAAGAGGAAGAGGAGCTGATTGCACTCAAGGAGAGAATCGTGAGAACTGCTGCCCTGGGAGGGTGCTGGGTGCTCCTGCAGGGACTGGGCATGACAAGAAGGGTTGACCCTTTTGCCCTCTTGGCGGCAGGAGAAGCGCCGTGCAGAGAGGGCTGAGCAGCAGAGAATCCGTGCTGAGAAAGAGCGGGAACGCCAGAACAGACTGGCGGTAAGGACTGTGTCAGCCTGCTGCCTCCAGCCTGTGGAGCCAGGGAAGCACAGTGTCTTGGGCCTTCCTTTCACTGTGGCCCTCTGTTGGGCCAACAATTAGAGCTCCTGGGTTAATGTCTCTTGCTCTACAGACACTCCCCCCTCTCAAAAGCAGCCTCCTTCTAGAAGTTTCTAAGTCCAGAACTAGGTAGTCTTTGAAGCCTACTCAAAGGGCAGCCCCTGAGGATCTTGGGGGTGGGGTCTCTACAGGAGGAGAAGGCTAGAAGAGAGGAGGAAGATGCCAAGAGGAGAGCTGAGGATGACATGAAGAAGAAAAAGGCACTGTCTTCCATGGGCGCCAACTACAGCAGCTACCTGGCCAAGGTAAGGAACATGCCCAGAGCCCTGAAGGTGGCCTTCAAGTGGGGCTGGTGTTTGTGCCATGTGCCTCCTGAGAGTGGATCCCTTATCACCTCTCCCCTCCCCAGGCTGACCAGAAGAGAGGCAAGAAGCAGACAGCCAGGGAAATGAAGAAGAAGATTCTTGCAGAAAGACGCAAGCCTCTGAACATCGACCATCTTAGTGATGATAAGCTGAGGTGGGGTGGCCCTCCCAAGTGGTGGTGGGCCCTTCCCCAAAAGAACTGAGTCACAGCTCTCTTGCTGGTGGCTGGAGGAGGACGCAGGGTTTGGGGCCCTGCCTTTCTGGCTTCATCCTATCAAACCTCCTCTTTTCCATCTTCCAGGGATAAGGCCAAGGAACTCTGGGATACCCTGTACCAACTGGAGACTGACAAATTTGAGTTTGGGGAGAAGCTGAAACGCCAAAAATATGATGTGAGTCTAGCCATCTCTGGATCTTGGGCCTGCAGGGTCTCATTCTTGGGGGGGGGGGTCAACTCTTTCCCTACAGGCCACTTATACTCTGGTCCTGCCTTCACCTTGAGACCTGGCTCCACTGAGCCCAGCTGGGGCCACTTCTGCAGCTTGTCCTTCAGGGGAGGCACCTGATATCGGCTTGACCTGCATTTGTATTGGCCAATGCTATAGCCAGAACTGTTATGAGTTCTCAAACTGCTGAGGTCTCCATGACATCTGCCTCCTCAGGGCAGGCAAGCATGCAGGCAGGGTGACTTGTACCTTCACCTGAAACTGGGAAAGGGAATTTAGTATTGTGTCTCCTCTGGGGCTCAGGGAATCTGGACTGGGGTTGCAACCTTCATAGGTATGAGGAGGGCATGGTAAGGGGCTGCAGAGATGGGCAGGGCCTTGTGGGTTGAGTTAGAGTCAAGCTTGTTCATACTCACCATAGATGCAGGGAAAGGCACCTATCCTGGTGTCTACTGTGCTTACTTCAAATGTAAATCTCTTGAGTTCACTGGCAAAGCTGAACTGTCCTCCCCTCATGGCCCTCCAGTGCTGGGTGGAGGGAGACATGAGAATTCATGCAGGGGCATCTCCCACAACCATCAAGATAGACAACCTACAAGTCCTGGCTCCTTCTTGCAACGTCTGGGTAGATGAGATGGGTCTTAGTTGCTCAACTTTGAAGAGCCTTGGTCTCCATACCTCCTTTGTTGGCCATCTCTAGAAAGAGACTCAAGGCTACCCCAGGAGCTAGCTCGGAGAAGACTCTGCCTAGCAGAGGCCAGGCCACTCTTTTCAGCAACAATAGCTGAGTCAGGAACCCATAGCCTCCTGATACACTCTGCCCATGTGTGGTCTCCCGGGTTCACAAAGTCTGACTGTCCATCAGAAGACTGGCTCCATACTTATCAGGGCCTTGAAGCCTCAGCTGCCCACCCAACCTGGTAACCATTTCGATTTTTCTAGATCATGACTGTCCGGGCCAGAGTGGAGATGCTGGCCAAGTTGTGAGTAGGCAGAGCCAGGCTTGTGGGTGTGCAATGCTCAGCTAGCCTCTCGCATGGCAAAGATTTAGTTGTCGAGGACACTGGTGGCAAAGGGCCTTTTCCTTTTGCCACAATTCCTCCCTTCTGACCTCAGCTGGTGGCTATGAGGCCGGCCTGATGCCCTTGTTGGCAGATGAAAAAAGAAGGATCTTGCCTTCCCAGAGCTCCATTTGGGGCCAGGGCCTCTAGGCTACCAAGTCGGGAGCAGGTACCATGGGCCAAGGAGCAGGAAGGTCAGGATCAGGAGTCAGAGGTGGAACCTTGGGAGGTCTTGGGCCTCACCTCCACCCTGTCCCTTACCCTGCCTGCATCCTGCCACAGCCACAAGGTAAGTGGCTAGTTGGGAGCTGCTGTGTGTGGTAGCTAGAGAGAGCAAGTCCAGGCACAGCCCGAGGACAAAGAACAGTACCCTCTCACAAAGGAGCCCTGAGACAGTAAGAAAACTGGCACAGGAGACTGTGTTCCTGCAATGAGGAGATGCCACAGTTGGCCAGCCCTGTGGTAAAAACATGTGTCCCCTGGTCAGTGCCCAGCTGGGCTTCCCAGGTCTCTGTCACAGTAAGTCACCTATGTTGTTACAGATCACTACCCTCAGGAGCCGCATTGACCAAGCCCAGAAGCAGTAAGTAACCCAGACCATTTCATCACTCTATGCTGGGCCCAGAGTCCCCAAGGCCAGCTACCTGCAACCCTACTCAGGGCCTAGACATTTTAGCTGGTCCCTGAACAAGGGCTCTTGGTGGCTGGCCCTTAGCAATAACAAGACTAACTGGGCCCCCGGGATCCACTGGCTCCTTCCTCTCCTGCATGCAGGAGGTGCCAGATGCGGTGTGTTAGTGATCCTTTTCTCTTCTATGATGTGCTGGCCAGCAAGAAGCCTGTAACAGGGTGTGATAATGAACACCTACAATCCCAATACTTCTCCAGAGTTGGGAACAGGATCAGGAGTTCAAGGCCAGCCTGGGATCCATGAAACCTTATCTCAGTTAACAAGAAAAAAAAAAAGGAGTGGGGAGTTAAAGTATAGTTCAGTTGGTAGATGCTTGCCCACCATGCACAAGGCCCTTAGTTAGATCCTATAGTAGGAGTACATTCATAATCCCAGCACTTTGGGAGGCAGGCAGAGACAGGAGGATCAGAAATTCAAGATCAGTTGCAGAGTAAGTTCTGAGGCCAACTTAGGATATATAAGATGGCTGGAGAGAGAGAGAGAGAGGGAGGGAGAGAGAGAGAGAGAGAGAGAGAGAGAGAGAGAGAGAGAGAGAGAGAGAGCACAGACTCCACAGGAGGGTAACCCTTCCACACAAGGAATCAGGTTCCACAGGACTCCAGGACCTGTTGCTACAGGGACCCTCGCCGGGTTCTGAGTTTGGTATAACGCTGAGATGCTGGTAGTGAGCCTGTACATGGGGTTATCACACTCCAAGTACAGGATCAAGTGGAGCTGCTTAGATTTCCTGTTTCTTGGGATTTTTCTCCCTCCTTCTACACTTCCATGATGCTCAGGGGAGATGGGTGCTCCCCTAGGGATATTTTGTATCTTTATTGCGTGGGTTGGAGGGTCATGACAGGATAATTTGATGAGATGCTACATGCATGTGAACGAGAGTGTGTGCATGTGTTAGGGTGCTCGGAAAGGTTTGTGAGGACACAACATCACCAGCCCAAGGTCCTGCTGGACTGGCTTCAGAGCTCATGTACTTTTATACTCCTGCCAGCCCAGACTCATACATCATTCATCCTGCTTCCAGCTTCCCAGGGTACAGAGGGCCTCAGATAATAAGGTCCCAACTCCTGGGGACCAGTACCCTTAGCTGCCATCTGAAAGGCACAGGCTTTTCAAAACCAACAGTGTTTAAAGCTAGGGTGGCATGGGTCTGTCTGCAGTACTCTCCCCGGCCAAGGCAGGACAATGAAAGGTGAGCCCAGGTAACCAGCTAACCCTGTCCTAACCACACTAGTGTCCAGGCCCCCTTGGGCCCACTGCAGGTGAGTCAGCTCCTACTGCTCAGGCTGGAATGAGGTATGTGCACTGGAAGTGAGGGCAACAGCTTGGGGAGACAGGAGCTGAAGGTCTCCACTGGCTGGCTGGACACTCTGTCCCTTAAGCACAACTTGCTTTCCATTTGCAGCAGCAAGAAGGCTGGTGCCACAGCCAAGGGCAAAGTTGGTGGGCGCTGGAAGTAAAGGAGCCAAGAGTTGCACTGCAGCAGAGACCCTCCACCCTGATTCCTGCCAGGGTCCCTTATTCCAGCTCTGCACCATCCAATCCTCATGCCCAGGCTTTTTCTGGAGCTCAGGGCCCATTCTGCCTCAATGCCCTCACCTTCTGGGGTCTGGGAATAAAGTTATCAGACTCCCCTCCACTGTGTATGTGGTTTCATGTATAAGGGGTCTAGGGAGGTTGGGAGATGATGCTGCAAGACAGGAGCACTATGGGAGCACACCTCAGAACAGCCCTGGAAGACTCAGGGTACCTTACTGCTGTTAGTAACTGTGGCTCAACTACACATGGTTCTGTGCCCTAATGTGCCTCTAGAACTTGCCCGGTAATTGCTTTCAGAGGCTTTTTACTCCCAGGGCACCCCTCTTGTCCCCTGCACCAGAGCCCTCCATGTTAGATGGCTGCCTGATCAGTCCAAAGCACTGTTTAAAGAAGAAACAGTCCAGCCTTGGGAGGGTTAGGGAGGAAGGCTGGCTGCCTGGAGACGTTGCAGACACCCCGAAAGGGGGGAGGCGAGGGGGAGCTCCAGCTAGCACATCAAGGGGGGAGAGGAATGCAGGAAAGCACGTTTCCCACGAGGGAGCAAGCTCGGCAAACAGCGTTCTCCTATATTACAGGGAACACAGAACACAACTGTGCAATAAATTTGAAAGTCCTGACCAAATAGAATTATGGAAAATATAAATCACAGAAATTGGATCAAGACGCGGAGCCCTGCACAGCGAGGTATTCATAGAGGAAGGGGCTTATGCACAAACACCTCCAGGAAGACTGGGGAGGCAGGGCAGCCGCAGCCAGAGCCCTGAATGAAAGACAAGGAGTGCAGTCAGCCCTCACCAGGCCCCTGAGGGGAACACACAAACCCCAGAGAGCACATGTAGTCCATTTGTAATACACCCCAGGAAAGAGCAGTGTGGCCCCATCTGTGCATGCACCTCAACACACACACAATAGTACAGACTCCATCTCTGTGTACCCCAACAGAGACTGGTGTAGACCTCTTGTGTGTGCACTCCAATACACATGGTTGTGGTTCCTGTGGGACACACACACACACACACTTGCACTAAAAGGACTGTAAATACACAGTATGGTGATTCAGTATGTGGATGCTCTGTGCCTAGCATATACACAGTACTGAAGAACAAAAAAAAAAAAAATTGTTCAGTGGCCCTGGCAGTGGTCTAGTGAAAAAAGTTCTATGAGCACCAAGCTTTAGGGACAGCAGCACACCTTGCAGTGGAAAAACTGGGATCAGCCGGTTTGGAATGGGCAGGGGAACCAAAGGGCAGGAATGGACAGTGATTGAGACATCAGGGTAGAGGACTTTGGCTAAGTAAACCTCACATGATGCTGTTGAAAGCTGGCTAGGAGATTAGACATTGCTCAGATGGTATCTTCAATACACTAAGTGAGAAACAGACAAACATGTTTGTGTCTTTCCACAATGTCAGAATGTATTGATTAACAGCAGTATATTCGAAAGGTAAGGCCGTTTCAATGGCAGCATTTGCCAGATAATCCTGCTTTCTTTGATAGCCTGGCCGAGGCAAACACAGGTTCTTTCATTCTGATCTTAATTACTAATATTGACTCTCAGATCACACACCACACAGTAAACACATCTATCTATATCTCTATCTATATATGTGTATTACATAATGGCTACAAAGGTTTAAAGAGGCAGGAAGTTTCAAAGAGTCCCAAGAAGCCAAAGCTGGGAAATTGATAGGGCCATAAGAGTCTCTGTATTGATAAGATAAAGAGTCGAGTGGAGCTAGAGCTAAGGCTGGAGAGGCTGCGGTGGTTTTTGTGGAGCCAGGACTGCCCTATGGTCAGAGCTGAGCTGCAGGAGTGAGGTGAAGTGAAGGGCAGGACTGGGTCCTGATGAACCAATGGGTAGACAGATGAATGGCAGGTCCAGACAAGAGAATAGGAGGATGGCAGTTGAATAAGCCACATCAACAGTGGGCATCAAACTGAGAAGAAACCCCTGGGACAGTTAGATGGTCTCTGACTGTTAGACTGTCAGTTCTTCCTAACACACACACACACACACACACACACACACACACACACACCATTTGGGATGGGTAGTGGACATTACCATCTATCCCTGTACTAGGTCTCTACCTCTTTATAAAGTCTGAGTGAGGAATTTCTACCTTTTTCTTGGTCTGGTATGTCTGGTGAGTTCTTGGGTCTGGTTTCTCCAGTATAAATTTAATATGCCCATATGCCCCTACAGTCTCAGTTCACTCTGATAAAATTTTAGGGTAGCACCGTTTCTGCTCCTAGAAGTAAGGTATCTATTAATCTGTGCATCCTATGTGGTGCTGGACAGATGGTACCATTCCTGTGTCCACCTAGGCACAGTCACCCTTCATCTTCAAAATGGAGTCAAAAGCTATGTATAAAATGGAGTCTCTCAGCCTGAAAGAAAAAAAAAAAAAAAAGGCTGGGTGTGGTGGCTCACACCTTTAATCCCAGAACTTTTAGAGGCAGAGGCAGACAGATCTCTGTGAGTTCAAGACCAATGTGGTGTACAAAGCAAGTTCCAGGACAGCTAGGGCTCTATTACACAGAGAAACTTTGTCTCAAAACAAAACAAAACAAAACAACAACAACAACAAAAACCAAAAAAGAACAACAACAAAAACCTCAAAACCCAAAAGTCAATAACAACAACAAACAAACAAAACACCGAACAAAAAAAACTTTTTTTTTAAAATTTTTTGAGACAGGGTTTCTCTGTAACAGTCATGGCTGTCCTGGAACTTGCTCTGTAGACCAGGCTGGTAGAGCTACCTGCCTCTGCCTCCCAAGTCCTGGGATTAAAGGCATGTACCACAATACAGAGTCACAGCAGGACACAACTTGATCTCAACAGATAGGAAGCACCCTAAAAACACATGGGGATGCTCAGGTGTCTGGATAGGGGCTCACTGACCTGACTTAGCAAGGCTCCTTCTTTTGCAGGGGGGACGTTCAGAGATAGGATGGGGCACAGGGAGCATAGAAGCCTGGGTGAAGTGTGGCCAAGCAGAGGATCTCTGTCCACACCTAGTGTACACACACATCAACATAGTCCAAAACTCCACACATGCACATACCAATGGTCCTCACAGACATAGCCTGCGAGGGGGTACATTTCATGTGTGGGAGTACACCTCAGCAGACACCCTGGCCCATAAGTCCTCACCCCACACCCCCTACAGCCACTCTCCCATATGTGTAGGCTTAAATACACCCAGTATGACCAGGTACTTTTTTACTTTGTTTTTCAGAAATGCATAGTTGGAAAAATTAATAGAAAGAGTGTTGGGCCCCATGAGTTTGGAAACCACTTTCATCTCCTTGCCTTGTTCTGAAAGGCAGCTGAATAGCCCAGAACTGCCTGAACAGAATGGCTAAGCTGGGGACAGAATGGGTCACTACCCTGTGCAGAGGGCCCCATGTATCAGAAACTGGCTGTGGTTCAGAACTGAATGAGGAACTGGAAATCCCAGTAAGCCCTGGTTCTGAGCATGCCACTCACAGTAATGGTGGATTAAGGATCAAAAAAGCAGGTTGGGAGAAGGTGTGTAAGATTGGAAACAAGAGGCTGTTGAACTGTTCCCACTGGCCAGGAATGCACATGAAACAACAAAGGCTGACCTCAGCCTAGGACCCAAAGCACACTCCAACAGAGGCAGAACAGAGATGCCCCAGCCCAGCCAGGAGGGAACTCTTTCAGCTTGTCTTGGAAAGGAACTAAATAACTCTGAAACTAAGAGGACATTTTAGAGGATATCAGGAAGCACTTAGGGTTGAAGATCCAAGATAATGGATCTTGATACTGGAGACCAGGAGGGAGACTGGAATAAACCATGGAGCCCTTTGCTTCTATTACAAAAGGGAACACACCCTCCATTTTGGTTAGGTGCATAAATTGCTTGTAGGACTTGAGAAATTGACAGAGCAGCCAAGAACTAAATGAGAAAAAGAGAATCGAGCAGACCATGATAAACAGAAGTTAATAAGTAGGGTCTCGTATGGGGAGGGTCACAAAGGCCAAAACCTGGTCTGTGAGACAGGTGAGTGGCGTCAGCTGCCATCTGATAGAAAGTTCAGTGGCCAGAGGGGACAGATACAGATAATGGGAAGCCGGAAAGAGGGCTCTAACTGCAGAGATGGCCCAGACTTAATTGCCCCACAAGAATGTCACAAACACATTGCAGCAATCTGTCTGAAGACTGGAAAAAACAGACCAGTCCCTGGGGGGATATATGACATGCAAACAGGGCTAAGGTGAAGAATAAACCAACTCTTTTGAAAGGCGCTGACACCGTGGCTAAACCATTCCCTCCAACACTGCTCTGCACTTTTAAAAACAGTATCATGCCCATGGCTTCAATCAGAAACCAGAATGGTGGGATTGGAGTTTACCAACACACAAAAAGGGTGTAAAAGCACCAACAACATGTTGAGCACTGGCATGCATCTCAGTGGTAGAGCATTTGCTTAGCATGCAGGAGAACCCTAGTGTTGCAATGGTCAAAAACTTTTTTACAGTAGCACAGAAAACACCACAGTGCTGGAAGTTAGGCATGGTGACACTTGCCTTTAGTCCAGCACTTGGGAGGCAGAGGCAGGCAAATCTTGGGGAATTTGAAGCCAGCATGGTCTACACATAGAGTTCCAGGTTAGTCAAGGCTACACAATGAAACCCTGGCTCACAACAACAAAACCAAAAATAATGATGGGTCCAGCAAGAAAGTCAAGGAGGCCATCTTCCAAAAACCTACAGAGAAGCTTGACTCTGGGAAGTGGATGACTGAAACATTCTCTTTATGATAAAGAACCAAGCAAGAGCCTAGCATAGTGACACACATCTGTGATCTCAGAACTTAGGAGAGATGGGTAGGAGGATTGCTGAGAGTTGGAGGCCAAACAACCTGGGCTACAGAGTGAGACCATGTGC